CGCATTACCTCGGACGTTCACGAAAGGGCATTCACACACCGACATCTAACAAATTAGAGAGCTACGTTACACAATAACACGCTCGTTACACGCAGCCTGACTCCACGCACGCTGGACTGTATTTATCCCGAAGGAAACGTTCATCTTTGTGACGATTCGTCGCGCTGACTCGCATACCATAGCAAGCAGACAGTAATCTGACGTTAACGACCAGATCGGAATAATAAAGTGGTGGCGATCACGTTACATCGCACGTGTAACGTGACCGGCTAGACGGGCAGCATTTTCGGAATCGAGCAGGAACGTGAGCCGAGTTCGCTCATATTCGAAGACGTGAGTAAGATTAGCAACGCTAGTGGAGAATTTAGAATTCTACCTTAGAAGAACCCGCCGTTCCCTTAATAGGGAACTTTAAGTTTCCTTAGAAGGAAAACTTGCTAATAGGGGAACTTGCTTAAATGAGAGGAAAGACAGAAAAGAAGAAACAGAGAACTTGCTAGTAACATTTTAAGTCGGTCTAAGTAAAAGGAGATTTACGTTGGAAAGATACAAAATATCTCGCTATTTAATAAAACAATAGATTAATATTGCGTTCTATATATATATATATAAAAAATATTATACATTCTATTGCTTCCTTACTTCAAAAGTGATACGACCGCAAGAACGTTATTTTTCAAATTATTATCTTGAATGAGTTACATATAAAACATTACCTCATCAATAATCGAAAATTAATAAATTTCATTGAAAAATCGTCAAAACGTCGCCACTCAAAAAAGATAATTTAAAAAAATCATCACAACTCAAAAAAGATGATTTTTTTAAGAGTTATAAAACGAAAGTGTGACAAAAATGACTGTGTTTGATTATGTTAAGAATATATTCTTTTTGTATCGATATTATTTGAGCAATAATTTTCTGTCAAGTTAAATAATTTTTTGAGAAACTTAATCTTTTTTGGTTGTGTCACTTTTGAAGTAAGGGAGCTAACGGGGATACAATCAAAATATTCACATAACTAACAGTTACAAAATTAAAAAGGAAATAACTACAAATCGCGATGATTTGAGAAAACGTTATTCGGGGCCCCGAGCAAATCCGCCACTGCAACGAATTGATATATTCTCGTATATCCACGCGGCGATGGAACGTGATGCGAGTAAACAACGAAGATGTAAATTCAGAGAGACAAAGAGAAGCAGTGTGGCACACAGAAATAGTCTAATAAATTAATCTCAAGCGGCTTACAAATGGTACGTTCGCCCGACGTCTCTTGTTGGCGACTTGCTCGCTCGGCCGATCCGAAGTATTAATTAAAGGGGCCGAATGTGAAGACGAAGGAGATATAACGCATGGGATATTCTGATTTTAATTTATGACCCCGGAACAACAAAATTATGCACACGCGCCATTGATCAATAGGCTAACTCTCGTAAGAGATAATTATTTATTCACGAAGACAAAATCCATTTGTTCCGGGGATAAATCATGATTGATTCTCACGAAGTAATCTACGAGTCCACGGACGTGTGGTCCACACAAGTAGCGCGTTGCGTGTGTCGCAGCACACCAGTGAGCATCAATTAAAACTGAAATTGTGGGGTTGCTTCTTTTAATTTCTGACCTCAGCTGACGAATGTTATTCAGCTGGTATGTATAGCAAGCTCCAATTACCAAGTCCAGCTATTAACGAGCGAATCATAGGAACGAAACGATACGTATATATATATATACTTACGATACGCGAGTATACAAAGGTAACTCGAGTCGTACACGACGCCCATTGGATGCGTTACATATTTCTATGCTTGTACAGGGTATCAGGTTTGCACTAATCCGGTGGCACTTATAGCTACGCTAGAATTCTTGTCATTGTCGAGAGCCAAGTTGCTCATTCGTGAAGTAAATATCAACTGCGAAGTAAATATCTTAGGTAGGTTCATTCGTGTTACTTGAAAATCTCGAAAAATTTTTGCTCTTAAAAACGAGATAAATATTTATTCAGGCATTGAAGAGAGAGAGAGAGAGAGAGAGAGAGAGAGAGAGAGAACGTAAAGATACTGAATGCAAAAAGTGCAAGCGACGCGAACAGACCTCTTGATTCATCAGTCTCAGTTCCGAGAACTTCGAATGTTGACTATCTCTGAAATAAAGATATTGCGTTAAAGAGAATGATTCGGGAATGTAAGTATCATTATGTCATTTCACGGCGCGGTCATTCTTATCATTCTTCGGGGAAAAGGATTTTTGTCGCGAGCTTCGATTTTATTCAAGATAACGCGCCCGCGTGATCATGAAACGGCCTCGGTGTTTATCATTTACGACATTCGATGCCGTAGCAAGGTAGGATTTATTCTGGAACGACGTTTCCCAAGCGAGTCTGGCTCAATCAGATGACCGCGACGAGTCAGCCAGCGCGAGCGAGCGATCC